GAGGACACCATTACTGCTGAACATTAGGTGCTACCACTTACTTTGCCAAAGCCACATGCACAGAACCCTGGATCATGGCAGCCAGTGTTGTTCTAAGAACTTGCTGCACTTGCCATGCTCCCAGAGAGAATTATTCCAGAGACTTTATTGTGTTTCTGGTTCTTAATTCAAAATCAAGAGTAATTTGTAGCATTAGAGTCACAAGGGGACACAGAGAAAATACCTGAAAATTACACTTTTTTTTTTTGGACACAGAGTCTCCCTCTGTCACCCAGGCTGGAGTGCAATGGTGCAATCTTGGCTCACTGCAACCTCCGCCTCAGGTTCAAGCGATTTTCCTGCCTGAGCCTCCCGAGTAGCTGAGATTATAGGCATGTACCACCATGCCCAGTTAATTTTTGTATTTTTACTAGAGACAGGGTTTCGCCATGTTGGTCAGACTGGTGTCAAACTCCTGACCTCGTGATCCACCCACCTCTGCCTCCCAAAGTGCTGGGATTACAGGTGTGAACCACCGCACCTAGCCAAATTTCTGCTTCTATAGTGAAAGGCATGTTCTGCTTTCCAGCAAATTCACAAACAGGAATTCCCAAATATAGGGAAGGACCTCAGATCCTGGGCAGCCAAAAAGGATGGTATGTCCACTATGTTGACCATGGACACCACTCTGTGTGAGCCTACTTTTTCTAGAAAGCAAAGTAAATAAAGCTCACGTGGCTGAGGAGATTGTGTATGTTCAGCTACTCATTTGCCAGTAAACATCTACCAGGTACCAGGGTACAAAGATAAAAAAGTTTCCTCTCGAGTCTAATGGTAGGATAGAGGCATGCACAAATGAGATGATGCAGAAAGAAGAGAAGTCTGAACTAGTTTATGAATAACGTTCTTACATTTAAGTAGTTACATTTTTTAAAAATTTCCTGGCCGGGTGCAGTGGCTCATGCCTGTGTCCTGAGGTCAGGAGTTTGAGACCAGCCTGACCAATGTGGTGAAACCCTGTCTCTACTAAAAATAGAAAAATTAGCCAGGTGTGGTGGCACGCGCCTGTAGTCCCAGCTACTTGGGAGGCTGAGACAGGACAGTTGCTTGAACACAGGAGGCAGAGGTTGCAGTGAGCTGAGACTGAGCCACCACACTCCAGCCTGGGCGACAGAGCAAGACTCCATCTCAAAAAAAAAGAAAATTCCCTGGTCGTGTGTGGTGGCTCATGCCTGTAATCTCAGAGCTTTGGGAGGCTGAGGTGGGCGAATAACCTGAGCTCAGATGTTCAAGACCAACCTGACCAACAAGGTGAAACCCCATCTCTACTAAATATACAAAATTTAGCCCAGCCTGTTAGTGTGTACCTGTAATCCCAGCTACTCGGGAGGCTGAGGCAGGAGAATCGCTTGAACCTGAGAGGCAGAGGTTGTAGTGAGTCCAGATTGCGGCATTGCACTCCAGCCTGGGTGAAAAGAGCGAAACTCCATTTCAAAAAAAAAAAAAAAAATTCCTGGCCGGGTGCAGTGGGTTACGCCTGTAATCCCAGCACTTTGGGAGGCTGAGGCGGGCGGTTCACTAGGTCAGGAGATCAAGACCATCCTGGCTAACACACGGTGAAACCGCATCTCTACCGAAAATATAAAAAAATTATCCCAGCATGGTGGCACATGCCTATAATCCTAGCTAGCTGGGAGGCTGAGGCAGGAGAATTGGTTGAACCTGGGAGGCGGAGGTTGCAGTGAGCTGAGATTGAGCCATTGCACTCCAGCCTGGGTGACAGTGAGACTCCACCTCAAAAAAAAAAAATAAATAAAAACAATTTCCCATGTGGCATGTGATGCTTGCACCACTAATGGGGAAGACAGCTTGCTCTTGTAGGACACTGCTGTAGCGCTTCTTTGAAAGTCAGCTATTTTATAGAAACACCAAAATGATAATGTTAGCTGGCACAAATCCAAAAACTCAAGCTTTTGATCATTTATTGACAGTCATGTCTGGACTGCCCAGTTTCATGCAGGACACTTTTCAAAGGATTAAACATGGCATAGATTTGCCAGTCAGTAAGGTAAATTATCAGGCTTATTGCAGTGTGAGACCACACCTATGGTCTTTCTTCTATACCTAGCTACTGTACAACTTTGTATCTTAAATTGTTGGCTTTAGGTTTCAGTGTTTGGTTTTCCCATTTATAAAAGAGAGCAGCTATATGGTAACTTAGACCTCACTCAGAATCATACCACATTCATCATATGGTAATAATAGATGGAATACATTTTTATGCAATATAGAAATATATTCTGTAGAACCAGGGACTGAAAAGGTCAGTAGGACCACAGGGTCAGTTATTTCAAGCCACAGATCGGTATAATAATTTCATTTTCACAGTATTCTTGATAAATTATGTTTCTGTAGCTGACATTCTCTCATATATTCCAGAGGTCTGTATCCAACTGCTTTTTAATTTTTTTTTTTAGAGACAGGGTCTTGCTGTGTTGCCCAGGCTGGTCTCAAACTCCTGGATTCAAGCGATCCTCCTGCCTAAGCCTGCTGATTAGCTGGGATTACAGATGAACTGCTTTTTAAATCATTCTACTTGGATGATACACAGGCATTTCAAAATTAATTATTTCTAGTTGATAGACAATTGTACATATGTATGGGGTACATGTGATATTTGACTCATGCATACAATGTGCAGTGATCAAATCAGGGTATTGTAGATATTCATCATCTCAAATTTATTTGTATTGGGAACATTTAAATATTCTAGCTATTTTGAAATATACAATAAATTGTTAACAACAGTCACCTTACTGTGCTATCCAACACTAAAATTTATTCCTTCTATCCACATTTTTACCCATTAACCAACTTCTCTCCATCCCCTTCCCCTTCCAGCCTCTGGTAACTGTCATTCTACTTACCAGCCCATGAGATCAACTGTTTTTTTTTTTTTTTTTTGTGGAGTCTGAGTCTCACTCTTATCGCCCAGGCTGGAGTGCAGTGGTGTGATCTCGGCTCACTGCAACCTCTGCTGCCCAGGTTCAAGCGATTCTCCTGCCTCAGCTTTCTGAGTAGCCACTGCGCCTGGCTAATTTTTTTATATATTTAGTAGAGACAGGATTTCACCATTTTGGCCAGGCTGGTCTTGAACTCCTGACTTTGTGATCCACCCACCTTAGCCTCCCAAACTGCTGGGATTACAGGCGTGAGCCACCGTGCCCGGCCAAGATCAACTTTTTTAGCTCCCATGTATGAGTGAGAATGTGCAATATATGTCTTTCTGTGCATGGCTTATTTCACTTTGCATAATGACCTCCAGTTCCATCTGTGTTGCTGCCAATGACAGGCTGAATAGTATTCTGTTGTGTATATATGCCACATTTTTTTTAATCTATTCATTTGTTGATGAATGCTTAGGTTGTTTTCATATCTTGGCTATTGTGAATAGTGCTGCAATAAAGCTGGGGATGCAGGCATACCTTTGATATACTGATTTCCATTCCTTGATAAATATCCAGCAGTGGGACTGCTGGATCATATGGCCATTCTATTTTTAGTTTTTTTGAGAAACCTACATACATTTTTCTATAATGGCTGTATAATTCAGTGTATGAGAATTCCTTTTTCTCTGTGTCCTCACCAGCATTTGTTATTTTTTAGTCTTTTTGTTAATACCCATTCTAACTGGCAGTGTCAAATTTAACAAGTTCAAACGGGAGTTCTTGATCTCCCCCTACTTTCAAATATGTTCCCCTTACAGTAGTTCCCATTTCAATAAATAGCACCTCTACAGGCCCAGTTACTAAGTTAAGCTACCAATCTCTGCTTCCACTCTTAACTCCTGCCTTCTTCGCATAGTAGCTGACAAATTTATTTTAAAAGGTATCAAATCCTCCACCCCTTCAATGGCTTCCTGTTACATACAATTTAAAAATCCTTACCATGGCCTACTAAGTGCTGCATGATCTGGCCCCTACTTACCTTTATGACCTCAACTTACACTGTTCTCTCCCTTAAGAAGCTTCAGACAAGATAGGCATTTTCCGTTTCCACAAAGAGCAATCTTTTCTCCTCCAATCCAACCCACCTGGTCAAAGAGCTTTCAAGGAGCTTATCCTGCCCCTCTTCCATTTGGCTAACTCTATCTTACTCTGAGAGGTCTTCCTTGACTACCCTTCCTTGGTCCCTAATTTAGTTTTATTTTTGAAACAAGAGTCTCGCCCTGTTGCCCAGGCTGGAGTGCAGTGGCATGATCATCGCTCACTGTTAATCTCGAACTCCTGAGCTCAAGTGATCTTTCCTCCAGCCTCGGCCTCCAAAAGCGCTGGGATCACAGGCATGAACACCTGGCCCTGTTTTTAAATTACAGTTCCTTCAGTGCATTTACTATCATTTTAAACACATTGGTTTAAATGATACTTGATCACTGTCTACCTTCTCCACTAGAGAATTTCAGGAGAACAGGAACCGAATTGCTTTGTTCAGTTTGTGCTCATAATAGTAATGGCACCAGCAGCAACTAACATACAGCATGTATTTTGTGGCAGGCATTATAAGCACCGTACATACAACTAATTTAATATGTGCTTATAGTATATTGCCTGTCAGGTAGCCAATGGTCAGTTTGTTCAGTCAATGAACCCAGCCCCTACGTGCTCACCTACAGGAAGCCTAGCATCCCCGGAAACTGCTCATTATACTGTTAGATAACCAGTGCTCACAGGAATCTTCTTTACACTGTATTGGCCTTAGCGTATCTCCCTGCAGTTTCCACCCACTGGTTCTATTTCTGCCCCTTCTGGGGCCACGCAACACGAGCCTGAATCGTCCTTCCGCAAGCTCGCCTTTGCAGGACCCTGAGACCCACGCGCTCCCTTCTCGTGTCTCTTCCTCCCGCCTCCCGGTACCCCTCCTGCAGATACAGCTTTTCTGCAAGGTGGTCTGGAAGCCCAGCCCCGGCCAGCCAGCTGCTCCCGGCATCCTTCGCCGCCTCGCGCGTCACGTGACAGCGGCGGCCCCGCACGCTCCCCAGGCAACTGTCCGCCCCCGGGCGGGGCCGGCCGCGCGCCGCAATCCTACCGGCTGCTGCGGCTCCAGCGGGGGCGGCGGGCGGCTTCTAGGGCACCGGCGGCCGCGGCCCGGACTTCGCGGTGGGCGAGCCCCCTGTAAGGTAAGCGGCCGGTGTGCAGAGGCTGCGGGCGAACTTGGGCGGCAGGGGGAGGGAACTCGGGGCACTTCCCCAGGCTACCGACCCAGGAGGCGCCGCTCGGTCGTGGCGGAGGCTGAGCGTCTGGGCTTCGGGCTTCAGGGGTCTGGCGGGACCGGGAGGGGTGCCCACGGGCCGCCCGCGGCTCCACGATCTCCCGGCACCTGGAGGCTCTGGCGCGCCGACGGAGAGCTGTGCCTTGGTTTCCTCTCACGTAAAACTACCGGACGCGGAGGTTGTATCTCCGCGGTGCCTCCAGCCCTGAGATTTTGCGAGTAAAATCGAAGAGGAAGAGGCTGCCTCTTGGGATTGGAAGAGCCTTCACCTAGGAACGCAGAGGCAAATAGGGGGCTGGGCACCCACTGTGTATTTTATGCAAATCGCAAGCCTCTGAGAGACGGTTTCTTCATCTTTAAACAAAAAGTGATAATCCCTGTCCTGTCTTGCTCTTAGGACTACAGTGAAGAACAGAGGGGAAAGTCATTTGAGGAAGGAGAACTCTGGAGTCAGTCAGCTCTGGGTTCAGGTCCCAGTTCTGCCACTTTACTGGCTTTGTGACCTTGAGCGATTCCTCATCTGTTAAAAGAAGTTAGTAAACTCATGGGTTGCTGGGAGGATTAATTGTAAAGGGTTTAGCACACCGTGTCTGGCACAAAAGCCTCAGTAGATAATGCTGTTAATAAAAGCATTATTAGTAAGCTAGAGATTGCCCCCATGTGAAGGGTTTTTCAGCAGAATAATCACATTTGTTTCTATGTTTTTAGTCCTAAAAACAGTGCCGTTTTGGTTTGTAAGACCCTTTCCCTTTTTCTCATTCTGGGCCCCCTTTGCCTTCTCTTTTACAATTGGCATATGAACCTGTTGGTCCTACCAAATGAGTCAGACTGGATGGGAACGTCAGTTTACTTAAGCAGTTGGGTATCAGATTCCCTCTGAGGGGAGAGAAAAGTGCCAGGCATGTGTTGCCACCAAAAAAAACCACAGTACAATGATTGACTGTCAGAGCTGGAGGATGCCTGGGAAACCATCTAATCCAACTGTCTTCTTTGCCAATGGAGAGACTGGACCCAGAAAGAAGGAGGAGGACAGGACTTTGATATTGCTCAGAACCCAACAGAGTGTTGGCAATGGGTAGTGGAGAGGATGAACCTTTTACTTCAATTCTAATCTAATTCTGCATTTATTCAACAGCTATTTATGGAACTCCTACTGTGTGCTTATACACCTACTGGATCTGGACATAGACCTGTGAACAAGACACACATGGTCCCTGTCCTCAAAGGGCTTTTTCCATGGCTAGCTATGTTAGTTTGAGGTTATATAATGTGTGTGTGTGTGTGTATCCATTTAAACCCAAGTTGTGAAAGTGAGACATACATGTATATCCATCTCCCTGCCGGTTCTCAGTACATTTTAAAATAACAATAAGCTCCAGCTCCCAGTGAGCTTACCTCATATAGCAGTTGGCCTCCAGGGACAGGAACACACAGAGAGGCCTGAATTGTTTCATGATCCCTCACACCAGTTGCAGAGTCCTTGTTGGAGCATGGTGAGATTTGAGAGACTGGAGAAAAAGCTGCTTTTTTTTTTTTTTAGGGAAAGGATTTCCTTCTGGCCTGGAACACTTGGATTTCTTTGTCTTTCTGGTTGCAGACCTCTTACTGTTTTTAGATTTCTGAAAAGAGCCACCTTCACCATAGTGCCTTCATTTTGGTTGCTGTGGTTATCAGGGGAATTGTGTTTTCATGATCGCACAAGTAGCTGTTACCAGGGGAATTGTGTTTTTATGATCGCACAAGTCTCTGTTAAGCGATAGGTAGTCAAGCAGTCACCAGTTCACCATGAGTTTCCGTTCTCTGGTTTGTTTCCGTTGCGGTGCGGTCACACTGTCCCTTGCTTCCCTCGCTCCTTTTTTCCTTCAATAAATGTGCATTGGTGGCAGTGGAGTGCCAAGAGGAGTGAGAGTGAGTAGAAATAGATAAAAACGTACATAAATTGTGGCCTTAGAGACCTCAGGTTCTTTGGCAGGGATAAAACTGAGGGGAGATTACTGGGGTCTCTGATGATGTAGGTAGGGGGTCAGCAAGAGTTCTCAGAGATGGGAGGGATGGTGTCCTGGGCAATCAGGAAGACATCACCTTGCTTTTCATAAGAAGATGTGAAATAAATTCCTTTTATGTGCTTCAGTCATGAAATAGATGGAACAAGCATTTTGTTCTTTCAGTTTGCCTTAATGAATGAACCTATTCTTGAGTTACCTATCATGGATTTTGTTTGAAATGTCTACTGATTTCTCTCCTTACCCTCTTTCTGTTTAGTGATTATTAGTTTCTTACTTACCTAAAATGTTTGATATTATATACATAAAGGTATGTATACAAAGAGACATTTGATTAAGATTTTGTCTATTTCAGTTTAGATGTTTAACATGTGTCTCATTTCACAAGTTGAGTTTAAATTCAGTCTTGTATTTCCTTATTTTTTCTAAGTAGATCGCCAAGTCCTCTCTAATGCCCTTATTAGTGAGAATTCCAGTGTCTCCCTCTCCAAGCTCTCTGGGGGCTTATACATTCCAAAGGGGTCAGTCTTACCGTCACTCTCCAGAGGAGAGAGAACTGCATTGTCTGAGCAGTCCACACACACTGTCATCCTGACACAGCTATATGGCATCACTACTGAAGAGCTGTCCTACACAGTCCACAGATGTGTGGTCACTGCTGCTCAACGCCCTTATTGGACCAACCCCCTGTCAGCATGACTCCATGCTTGGATTCCAAGGTTGGAGCTTTATTAGTTTGCGCTTGTGTGCTCAGCCATTCTTCCCAAGGCACCTCACTCTGGGCTTTCTGTTGAGCTTTTCACCAGACTGGGTTCCCTTGCTCTCCTGGAGAGTTCTCTTTTAGGGCATTTGGGGTCCTTTCTTGCTAGCAACCTTGGTCATGGTCATCCAGACCACCCAAGAGATTTCTCTGTTTTCAAACCTCTTGTCAGAATTTGCAGGCTTCTCTTCCTAACCCTTACCCAAATCACTTTGGCACATTGGTTCCACATACTCTCCAGGATCCTGCCTACCAAAGATTCTCAGTAATGGCAGCCTTCAACAAGATATCTACCCCAGGACTTTAGGTGCCTACTCAGCTTACTTTTCCATATGTAAAGAGCGGTCCTCAGGTCACCCTGAGCAAAGCACAGATTTGTTCCCAGGAGATGCTGCCTACACCTATAGTCCTAAGAGAAGTAGGCATTCTGGAAAATTTACTTGGCATGTACCCTGTTAGGGATTTTGCAGGCAAAGTTTTAATTAAAAAATAAAGGATTTTAGTTTTCTCAATTTTTCTAAGAAACAGTAATCAGTATATTTATTTCATTTACTTGTTTTAAACTTTTTTGAATATGAAATACAATAAATGTGCATGGCAAAAAACACAAATATGTAGTTTAATAAATAACTATAAGGGAAATACACATGTAATCACCACCATGTCAAGAACCGGAACATTGCCAGTACTCAGTACCTGCTTGCAAATTGTAATTTCCTCCCCCAGAAGAAATCATCTTGACTTTTGTGATAATCATTTTTTTGCTTTTCTTTGTAACTATCCATATATCCCTAAACAATATAGTTTAACTAAGTTTTTTTACTTCATACATAAAGAATCGTGCTGTTTGCATTTTGTATTTTGCTTCTTTTGCTCAACTTGTTGTTTGTGAGATACATCCATGTGGCGACCTCACTTTCATTGCTAACAGTGTTTCCTGATATGACTGTGTCACAATAGACTTATTCATCCTCTGGTTGTTGGATACTTGAGTTGCTTATAGTTTCTGGGTTTTTTTTTTCTTTTTTTTCTTGTTCCTCAGCTGGAAGCTTATAGTTTCTGACTGCCAAGCACATCCTTAGATATTTTCTGTTTTATGTGAACAAGTTTTTTGTTTTTCGTTTTGAGACGGAGTTTCGTTCTTGTTGCCCGGGCTGGAGTGCAATGGCACGATTTCAGCTCACCGCAACCTCCGCCTCCCAGGTTCAAGTGATTCCCCTGCCTCAGCCTCCCAAGTAGCTGGGATTACAGGCATGCACCACCACACCTGGCTAATTTTTACGTGTTTTTAGTAGAGATGAGGTTTCTCCATGTTGGTCAGCCTGGTCTCGAACTCCCGACCTCAGGTGATCCACCTGCCTGTGCCTCCCAAAGTGCTGGGATTACAGGCGTGAGTCACCATGCCCAGCTTATGTGAACATGTTTCTTTAGGTTATATATATTAGAGTAGAATTGCTTTGCTAGATAATGCCAAACAGTTTTTCAAGTGATTGTACCAATTTACTTTCCTACGGGGAGTATATGAGAGTTCCAGTTGCTTCATATCCAGGCAAATAGTTGGTTTTATTGGTTGTAATTTTTTAGCTATTTTCATGTGTGTGTCGTGATATTTCTTGTGGTTTTAACTTGTTCTCCTTCGTTGCTATTGATATTGGGCCCTTTTTTTTTTTTTTTCTGAAACAGGGTCTTGCTTTGTCACCCAGGCTGGAGTGCAGTGGCATGATCATGGCTTACTGCAGTCTCAACCTCCCAGGCTCAAGAGAACTCTCCCACCTCTGCCCCCTGAGCAGCTGGGACAGCCAGATAATCTTTTTTTCTTTTTGAGACAGAGTCCAGCCTTGTCACTCAGGCTGCAGTGCAGTGGCGTGATCTCAGCTCACTGCAACCTCCACCTCCCAGATTCAAGCAATTCTCTGCCTTAGCCTCCCAAGTAGTTGGGATTACAGGCACCCGCCATCATGCCCGGCTAATTTTTGTATTTTTAGTAGAGATGGGGTTTCACCATCTTGGCCAGGCTGGTCTTGAACTCCTGACCTTGTGAACCACCTGCCTTGGCCTCCCAAAGTGCTGGGATTACAGATGTGAGCCACAGCGTGTGGCTGCCAGATAATTTTTAATTTTTTTTTCTATAGAGACTGGGTCTTG